TTAAATTAAATTTAAATAAAACCCATTCATGCAGTGGGTGGCTACATACATTTGAGAAAACAAAGAAGCTTCCAATGGAGTTGGCAGAGATGGCAAAACTGACTATTTTTTGGCCAGAGATAGCAAAACTGATTACTCCGATTAAAGAGAAGAATTTATCTAGTTACTGTATGTTTCTACTTAAAAACTGCTTCTGGACTTTTGACCTTAAACTGAAAAAAACAAAAACTTTGATTTTAAGTTTTGAGGATTAGAATGATTTTGTTGCTATAATTGGCTTGAAATACTGTGAAATTTTAAAGCAAAAGGTTGAGAGGTTGTTTTTTTGTACTGTACTGCACTGAAAAATGTCTTCCCTTCTCTTTGAGCCCTTCTCTCTCTTAGCTTGTATCATTTTGTATTTTTATCTTACAATAAAATTCAATAAAATCTCAATAAACAAACGAATACTTTCAAAATTGGTGATTGGTTCCACTTTGTGTAGGTTTTAATACATATATTAAATATACATGTATAATCTGTTGAAAACTGTATATAATCAATTTATTTTGTAAACCAGAGGTCCCCAACCTTTGTGGCTTGGCGGCCCAGGAAAAGTAAGGGAGACGGGGACTGGGCAGTGCAAGCTGTGGGCTGGTGCATATGTGTGCACAGCTTAATGTGTGAGCAGTGGGCTGGCTTACATGTGCATGCGCGGTTGCCCACTCACACAAGTTGAACTGCACGCACGCGCATGCACGCTCTGTCTTGTCACTCATGCAGCCCTGTTACAAATAGGCCATGGCCTGGTAGTAGGCCACAGTTGTAAACAACTGGATAGTTATTTTTAAATTGTTTAATAAAATTAGACATAAGCGGTATTGCTGATCTACAATTCCTAGAACGTCCAGTAGCAGAGGTAATAGTGATGATGTTGGCAACTCTATCAACATCTGGGTGGTCATCAGGTCACCATCCCTGCCTTAATAAAATGTAGAAATATAGTTTGATGTCTCCCTTTGTTGTTAGTGCTATGAGGTAGAAGCCAGGTTCACCTCAAAGATTCCTTTTTCCCCCCCCAAAGCTCAGTTTTCTAGTTATTAAAATGGCCATTTTGAAAGGTTAACGTCTTGAGTTCTATGTTCCTGATTGCAGTTTTGGCCAAAGCTTAAGTATGCAGGCTTTGAAATTGCAACCTTTTTTTTTCATTTATTGCTGTTTTTAAAAATCTTGGAACATATATTAGAAGGTTATACTTTGTGTTTTAAAAAATCCCTTACATTTCTTGCTCTTCTCTTTATTGGCTTTCTTTGCAGTAATAAGAAACAAACAAGCAATTCATAGCCTGTTTCTTGTAACATTGAGAAAATCTGCTTCTAAATATTACCATGGGGAAATCTTGCCTTCTGATAATGCACAACCAGAGGCCACTATTTCCAAAAAGGAAGTAGATAGGTTGTCCATCAATAGCGAAATGCTTTTCGTAATGATTATCAATGAAATCTCTTTGGCAGACGTCATTCTGTTACTAATGGTCTTTTTCCTTGAGGGATGGATGGTGGGCAGGCAGCATGCCACAATGGGTTTTATCCAGCCACTGTTTTTTTTTTTAAATTTTCTTGATGTAACATGTCTTTTCATGGTTCTATGATGGACCTCCCCAGGGGTATTTACAACCCAGATCCTACTGCTGTGGGGCACAATGGCTAAGCAGTTAAAGACACTGAGTTTGTCAGCTGGAAAGCTGATGGTCCGGGTTAAAGACCTGAGTGCTGCACGATTGGGTGAGCTCCCGTTACTTGCCCCAGCTCCTTCACACCTAGCAGTTTGAAAGTATACAGACGCAAGTAGATAAATAGGTACCACTTTGGTGGGATGATGTGCCTTGGTGTATAGTCATACTGGCCACATGACCACAGAGGTCTTTGGACAATGCTAGCTCCTTCTGCTAAACAGATGGGTACTGTGCACTAGAGTGAGACACCAATGGATTGCGGAAATGTTTACTATTACCTTTTTTGATTGCTGATCCCTAGTCATGTGACTGTCTGTCGGATACTTGGTAGCTTTTTATGGCAATATTGTTTGCAGCATCCTGCAGTCACATCACGGCATTTACTTCCAGTTTTCATCAAAAATGATTTAGAGCAATCAATTGGTTTTCTTAATAACATGTCACAAAAAAAGCCCTAAATTGGATTGGTCATATGGATGGCCACCTTTACAACAGACACAACATTTGACCATAATGAGCAAACTACATTATGATTGTAAGTTGAGGACTACCTATGTTCTAACACATATTGCATTAAACCTTATGATCTTGTCTGCTGGTGCACACACAGGACTGATTCGATTAGGAAGACCGTGGTATCTATGCATGGTAAATGAACTTGTCCACGGCTACCCTCCG